CTTTGTGGTTTACTTTTTGGGCATGAAAAGCTGGTTTGTCTAAGCTTCCAGTTCTCTCTTTTGATTTTATATTGGAGTGGCCAGATTGCTTTTGTTTTCAGAAGTTCCCACAGAGGCCCAAGTCAGATGAGGATCAGATCCTTTCTCCTAAGGTCTGGATCCCTCCAGGAAAGATTTTGGCCTCAGGAATTTGGGGGTTGGACTGGCCTGGGAGCCAGGCCCAGGAAAAATGCTAGTCTAGGGCAGCTGGTGGCCATGCCACCCAGAGATGCAAAGGCAGATGGGGGCCGGAAGCAGCCCCAAGGGCTCCTGGGGACTGTACTGAGGAGCTGGGTTGGTCTGGATGCAAAGGATCAGGAAGAGGAAAGGTCAGCGTCAGCATCTGGGAAAGAGGCTGGCAGGTGGTGGATTCCCAGGAAGTAGAGGCAGGTGAGGGCGAGGCCAGTTCCAGAAGCAGTGCTCCTGGGGATCAGAGAAGGTACTGAGTTGGTCTGGATGAAAAGGATCAGGAAGCAGTATTGATTCCCCAGGTGTCTGGGGCCCCAAGACAAGGAATGGGACAGGACCCAGGCTAGGAGGAGAGTCGCAGGGGAGATGTGAGTGTGAATGAGGCTGGGGGAGTCAAGGCACAGAGGGCGCAATGTACTTACCCCAGAGAGAGGCCTGTGGGTCAGAGAGAGGCCTGTGGATCCTGCAGGCCCAGGGAAGCAGAGGGAGGTAAGAGTGGGGCCAAGCTCAGAAGCAGTGCTCCTGGGGACCTGAGAAGGTACTGTGTTGGTCTGGATGAAAAGGATCAAGAAGCAGTAGTGGTTCCCCAGGTATCTGGGGCTCCAAGACAAGGAATGGGATAGGACCCAGGCTTGGAGGAGAGACCTGCGGGGGAGATGGGAGGGTGAATGAGGCTGGGGGAGTCAGGGTGCGGAGGGTAGATGGACTTACCCTGAAGAGAGGGCTGCAGGGTCGGAGAGAGACCTGCAGATCCTGCAGGCCCAGGGAAGCAGAGCGGGTTTTTTTGGTTTTTTTTTTTTGAGTCTGGGTCTCAGTATGTAGTCCCAGCTGGCCTGGAATTTGCTATGTCAACTAGGCTGGCCTCGATCTCACAGAGATCCACCTGTCTCTGCCTCCTCCTGAGTGCTGGGATTAAAGGCATTTACCACCACACCCTGCTTAAGTCAGGTTTAAATCCTGTGTACTTAAAGCACAAACACATCACTGTAAAATTGATGTATGTTTACACATTATCTTCAGCACAGTTACCATAAAAACTCACATCAGTGGCACTAATTTTGTGTGACAGGTGTTGCTGTCCCCTGAAACTTAAATGCCTCTCATCATAAGAGTATGGTACATACCAACCTAGCCTGAGCATACCTCCACATTTTCCCTGTGGAGAACCCCTTCATGCTCCTGGTTCAGAGCCAGGAAAATGAGCACTGTGCATATTTCTCAGCAGGGATCTGTCCATTGCAGAGATCTATCCACAGGCAGGGGCGAGTCCATGGGCAAAGATCTATCTGCCTGCTATGATCTGCGTACCTGCAGGGATCCATCCATGGAGGGGTCAGTCCATAGTCATGGATCCGTCTATGGCAGGGATCTTTCCATGAGCAAGGAATCAGTTCAAGTCAGAGATCTGTATATATGACAGATACACCATACAAAATGCTATATATATTGACATCTATTCCCTTTACATTAAAAAAAATATTGGTGTATATGTGCCCAGTGTAGACAGTGGCGCATGTGCTATGGCACACCTGTGGGAGTCAGGACTTTGTGGAGTCAGTTCTCTCTACTCTGGGTTTTGGAGATCAAACTCATGTCTCCAGGCTAGCTCAACAAGTGCCTTTACTCACTGAGCCATCTTGCTGACCTACTGTTACATTTTAAAACAATGTAGAAGTGTGTCTAAGATAGCTTTGAAAGGTCAGTTTTGAATACTTTGATTGCTAAACCCACTTCTTTGAACATTGGACAGCAGGGTAGGCTGGCAGCCAGAACTTTCCCTACCTCTGGTTCCTTCCCAGCTTCTCCACCTGGAACACTGCTATGAATCACAGTATGCTGAAACCCCCAGAAAACTGGAACAGTTCCAGTGATGAAATCTTAACATAGCTGCCCCTTTGCCAAGCTTGATTGGCAGAGCTCCCTCCCCTGGTCTTATCATAACGGAATTTGATGCTAGTTTGCCATGAAACGAAGGAGTGTGCTGGTCTGGCCGCTCCCTTCCCACACTACTCTTCTTGAGCATATTTGGCTTCACACAGCCATGGGGGATGGTCTGGTGTTAATGCATTTCCTTCCAAGGAAGAATAGCCTGCCAAATAGGCAGCAGTGTAGAGGAGAGGCCAACCTCAGGAGACTGACTTCTCCTGGATGGGTCCCATTCTCTGGCCTTTGTGATCAGGAAAGGAGGAGCCTGGAGTACTGAGTTTCTAATTGCATATCCCATCTTCCCCCTTTAACCAGGTCTTCCTCATCATACATCATGCCCCGCTGGTGAACTCCCTGGCTGAAGTCATTCTGAATGGCGATCTGTCTGAGACATACACAAAGGCTGCACAGGATGTTCCAAGGAGTTCTGTAAGTCACTCTGGGTCCATATGTACACCTTAATAAGAAGTAGTTCTTGTGGGGGTTTTTTTGTTTGTTTATTTTGACATTTTTGAAACAGGGTCTCCCTGTAACCCCAATCTGACCTAGAACTCGCTATGTAGACCAGGCTGACCTTGAACTCATAGAGATCCACCTGCCTCTGCCTCCTGAGTGCTGGGACTAAAGGCATGCGCTACCATGCCCAGCATAGTTCTTGTTTCTGTAAAGTCAAAATCTGTCACATTAGTGATGATGTGTAAGATGATCTTGGATACAGGGAACCCAGTCAGAGTCTTCAGATGTATACCTGGGGAAAATCTGTAGTCAAATATTGACAGTGGATTTGGTCAGTGGGATGTTACTGCATGAAACTAAATCGTTCTTGGTCCTTTGATGGTGTATATACAGGATACTGTTATTGGGACAGGGTGAGAGCTGAGAAAATAACCTATCTAAGGCATAGATGTCCACAGAAATTGGGTAGTGACCCAATGACACAGGCCCAGTGGGAGAGCAGTAGGGAATGCCTAGGACTGCAGCAAGCTGGAGAGCTTTTCCTCTGTGCAGCTACTATCCCACCCTGCCTACAGTTGTTCTGAGAAATACCGATGTCATATTCCCAGGTCATCTCTGGAGGATGTCATATTCCCAGGTCATCTCATGTTTCCAGAGAAGTTGGAAGTCTGTATTTTTCGGTAAAATCTCTCCATTTCTAGATGATTTTCAAATCATAGACGAAGTATGTCTAGCAATGTTGGTGGTCTGCAGGAGCTTAGAGTTACACTCTTTACACTAAGGAAGGAAAATACCTGGTAGCCAGGACTGTGGCCACGTGGGGGATTTCCCACTTGTCCCTGTGCTTCTTTACTCTCATCCCTCCTACTACACTGCTCAGGTGTTCTGAGCTCCATGCTGCTTGGGCACTGGCTCAACTTGCTCTTCTCCCACCAGCCCCACATTTTAGCCTCAGCGCCTGTCCCCTTACCACACCCACAGCTGGGAAGGCCCTTACACCTGGTTCCCCCTTAGTGGAAGTCTCATCTTGTTGAGCTCCTGGTAACTGATGTCGTGTCTGTAATAGCATAGGCTGTGGCATGTGCTCCTGTATGTGCCTGAAAGAAGCAAGGGGCATCTTGTACTAGGGCTGTTTCATGAGGTTTTGTTTCTACTTTTGGTGCTCAGGCAGAAGGCCCAGGTAAATGGTCGGGTGTGGCAGAATCTGTGTTGCTGTACGTGTATGCACAGGTATGAGTGAGATTCTGTAGATGGTAGGTCTTCACTGCAGGGAGATAGTTTTTCTGGTGTGCAATGGTCTAGCTAGTTCACTTTGCAATTCAAGGGAGAGTTAGAGCCTCTGAAAGGGTCCCCAGAAACACTTTGTGCTTGGTAGAGATGGTGACATTCGTTCAGTCAAATTGAATAAGGCCCTTTTTAAAAATTTATTTTAATTTTAAAATTTATTTATTTATTTATTTATTTATTTATTTATTATTTTGAGACACAGTCTTACTGTGTAGCCTTGGCTGGCCTGGAACCCACTCTGGAGACCAGGCTGGCCTCAAACTCACAGAGATCCTTCTGCCTCTACCTCCTGAATCCTGGAACTAAAGGCATGCACCACTACAGCCAGCTGAATGGGACCTTTTAATAGCCTATCCTGTTGATTTATTCAAGTATTTCATGGATTCTTTCTTTTTTTAAAGATTTATTTTTATTTATATATATGCATGTGTGATTGTGTCAGGGTATGCTGCCTGTGTGCAGGGACCCGTGGAGGCCAGAAAAGAGTGTTAGATCGCCTGTAGCTAGAGTAACAAGCAATTGTGAGCTGCCTGACATGAGTGCTGTAAACTAAACCCTTCCTCTGGAAGAGCAGTATATGCTCTTAACCACTGAGCCAGCTCTTCAGCCCCTAGCAGGCCTTTTTTCTGGGCCCTCCTGTTCACTCTGCAGTATATAAAATCATAGTCATTGTTGCATTGGAGCATCATAGTCCCATAGGAGGAACAGAGGTCTGTTGAAGTACCTGATAAAATCCTATTTCAAACTTTATAAGTGCTAGAAAAGTGTTTGTAGGAAGACCTTGGGGTTCAATGATAATTGTTGAACAGGGAGAACTCTTTGAGTGGTCCATCTTGCCAGTTCTTGGTTTGGAAAGTGTGCCTCTCATTAGATGTCTGTGGAGCCTCTATCAGTCAGGGGTCTCTAGAGGAACAGAACCATAGAATGAATATCTATAACAAAGGGGAGTTATTAGACTGGCTTGCAGGATAGGGGCTGGTTAGTCCCAACAGTGGCTGTCTGCACACTGGAAAGGCTGAGAACCCAGTAGCTGCTCAGTCCGTAAGGCTGGGTATCTCAGCAGTCCCAGTCTGGCAGTCAAGGCCTAGAGGATTCCTGGAGAACTGTTGGTCTTCGCTCCATGTTGGAAAGCTGAAGAAGTGGGTCCCCAGTTTCAGCAAAGGGTGGCAATAGCAGCAGCAACAACTATAGAACAGATGTGCTCATCAGCAAGGAACAAAGGCAGGCAGGCCAAAAGCATCCCTGCTTTTCATGTAGACCTTTGTACATCTAGGCTGCCACCACCACCACTAGAGGGTGCTGCTCACTATGGGAGAGGGTCTTTTCCCCTCAGTTAATCCTTCTGGGAAATACCCTCAGAGACATGGCTCTTTAATTGATCCCAGATCCTATGAAGTCAATAACTAAGATTAACCATCACAGAGCCTGTTCTAGTGTGTTTTCTGTTGTACTAAATACCATGGACCAAAAACAGCTTGGGGAGTAAAGGGTTTATTTCAGCTCACAAGTTCCAGTCTATCCTTAAGGGAAGCCAAGGCAGGAACTTGGGGGCAAGATAAAGCAGAGACCATGAAGAACACTGCTTACTGGCCTGCTTTCTTCCTTTGGCTTGCTCAGCTACCTTTCTTATACAGTCCTGACCTACCTGCCAAGAAGTGGCACTGCCCACAGTGGACTAGGCTCTCCTACATCAATTAGCAATGAAGAAAATGTCCCACACATGGCCACAGGTCAGTCAAATGGAGGAAATTCTTTACTTGATGTTTCCTCTTCCCAGATGACTCTAGTTAAGGTGACAAAAATTATCCATCAGAAAGCCCTAGCTGTTTTTCTGCAACTTTAAAATTTTTATTTTATTTTATTTATGTGTATGTGTCTGTGTGTATATATGTGTCACATGCATGTGGGTTTCTGTGGAATCTAGAAGTATATGGATCTTTTGGAGTTGGCGTTATAGACAGTTGTGAACTGCTTGGCATGGGTGCTGGAAACTAAACTTAGGGCCTCTGGAAAAGCAGCATGCATTCTTAACTGCTGAGCCATCTCTCAGCTCTCTCTGCAGCTTCTTAAATAGCTTTTGCTAAATGTACAAGTAATGAGATACCAAGTCAGAGCTGTCAAGTCCCCTGCCAGCTGGGTGACTGTGGGACGATGCTTCGTCCCACTTAGAAAACAGGGAGAATGAGGCAAGCTCCAGAACATGTTGGTGAGGATGGGGAGAAAATAGATCCCAAGTGCCCACCAGGTGCCCAACAGGTTGCAACCTGGTCCTCAGGCCTGCTTGGTTTGGTCTTTGCATTGTCTAAAAGAAAGTTTTATGAGTTGCCAGCATTGAAATTTAGAGTTTCACATGAGTTCAGATTTCTGGAGTCTCTCAAGCAGTCAGACAATCTGGTCCTCATTATGTACGTTTCTGCCGGAAGCCTCTATTCCAGGCTGCCCCAAGAGATGTGTTTGTTGTTAAATTTACCTTATCCCCACCCAGCCCACTGCTAATTGACACTCCATTTACATTAGTAACAATTTGAGATGTCTTGGGTCCTTATGAACTCTTTATGTGACATGATTTCCAAGTCCTAGTACAGCTGCTAAGCCTCTCTCAGAATGTCTTCCTTTTATAGTGCTGAAGTTAGACTTGGGGTTACAAGAGATGAGCCCAGAGTTCTTTAAGGTGCTAGGTTTCACAGATTATTTTACACTGTGGTAAGAACACTTAAAATGAGTTCTATTCTCTGAACCATGTTCACGTGTGCTTAGGTATGTATAGAGGCAAGACGTGGATGTCAATGTCTTTCTGAACTGTGTTCCACCTTTTTTTTTTTCTTTGAGATAGGACTTCTCACTGAACCTGGAGCTCACTGATTCAGCTAAACTGGCTAGTTAGTGAACTCCATGCAGCTACCTTTCTCTGCTTCCCCAGCTCTGGGATTGTGGATACAGGCCATGATGCCTATTTTTATGTGGTGCTAGGAATTCAAGTCCTCATGCTTGCATGACAAACACTTTACTGACTAAGCCATCTCTCAGCCCCTTAATAAATGTTAAGTTCTTACTGTTGCCTACATATAAGCCTGTATCCATGAATCTCTTGAACTCATCTCATCTTATAGTCCAGTGTGCTCTCCATGTGCTTCAGAGCCACCCATAAAGCTAAAACTTTATTTCCCTCATACCCTCCCCTCTTACCTCCCACAGCCCCTACACTCACCATTCTGTCCTCTGTTTCTATGAATTTGATGATTTTAGATGCCTCATATAATAAATGGGACCATAGTAGTAGTAGTTCTGTCACTGGCTTATTTCATGTAGAATGAGCTCATCAGAGTTTATCCATGTTGTTATATATTGCTAAATTTCCTTTGTTTTTAAAGGTTGAATAATAGTATATATACACATTTTCTTTTTTAAATTTGTGTTTCTTGCCAACATATTAATTATACACAATGGGCTTCATTGTAACATTTTTATACATGCATATAATATATTCTGATCATATTCACCCTCATTACCCTCCCTTGTCCTCATCCCACTCCAGATGATCTACCTTTTCTTCCCAACTAGCTCTCCTTCTACTTTTGTGTTCTCTTTCCCTCCCCCACCCTCTTTCTCTTTCTCTCTCATGACCCAGTGAGTTTCATTAGAGTTGTTTATGGAACCATAGGCCCCTTCCATTGACTATGCCACTG